CTAAATCACTGCAATCCAAAATCTATACTGCCTAAAAAGAATCTCTCTGCCAGCAGCTGAGGGCCAGCAGCACGGGATTGAAGGGGTGTCCATCCCAAAAGATGTGCACATGAGAAGCGAGCTGTTAGAAACCTGTCCCTGCTTTTGGATGACAACTGTTGGAAGTATGAGGTCCGCCCTGAGTCTCAGCCTAAATCAACAAAAGAAAGTAGAAGGGTTGAAACGGCACTATTTTATGGGAAACGCATGGGGAGTTTTAATATCCTGCCGAGCCGATTGATGGATTTTGCTGGTGGCAGCAAAGGTTTCTGGCGGCTTGTTTCATACTGCTAAGAGGTTTCTCCACAAAGTGCTCTCCCTCTGTGAATCTGTCCGGACCAGCTCTTTCTAGTTTACTTTTCCCCCCATGCAGGATTGCTTCTCTTTTAAGGACCAAGGTGGGCATTGTGTCCCCTCGCTCTCCGAGCTTCCTGCCGTTCCTTCTGCTGGGCAGGGCTCAAGACCCGTCTCTTACGCCTCCCTCTTCACTCCCAGTCACACTCTTCCCAAATGACCCCAGACTTGCATGCAGAGGATTGCCGCCTTCTATGAATTTGCAAGTCCGTTCCTTCTCCAATGAATCCATCAGTGGACTTGCCACTAAATAGGCCTCGGGGCTGGTGTGTGTTGATGAGTGCTGCTTTCCCCACATCAGTGTCCTTGGAGATAGGCTGGCTTATGACCTCCAGCACCCACAGTAGCTGTACTGGTTGGAGATGATAGGAGAAGCAGTCCAACACAGCTGGAGGGTACCTTTTTGGGGAAGATGGTTTGATGTTATGTGGCCTAATTCACTCATTCTATATCTACTGTTCTTAAGAAAACTGTGTGGGGAATAGTCATAAAATAGAATTAAGGATGAGGAAAAGTTGTGTCAAGGGGGACATTTCCCCCTGCAACCACACAAATTAAAGGACTTTTTTTCCAGCTATTTCCAAGAACAATTCTGAACAGAAGTCCTCAGCTGCAAGGTCATTCTTTCTTTCTTTCTTTCTTTCTTTCTTTCTTTTTTTTTACATTCATAAATCTTCTATGCAAATGCATGGTTGATATCAAACACAGCCTAAGAGGTTCGGTGCTGGGACTGGCACAGATAATGCTCGCCATTTCTTTCGGCAACTGAGAACATGTTGCTCTTTCACAAGGCTTGTAGTCCAAACAGATCACCTCTATCAGAATCCACCCTCTCCTGAATCTAGCTTTCTACATGCAGGGAGAAATGTCTCTGACTTATAAAGGAAAGCATGAGTTGGATCCCTGGAGACTGAAAGTAAGATACTGTTGAAGGGCTTGGGGATTTGAAATATAGTGAGAGACACAGTCTCAGACGGTCTAAAAGAGTAGACAGGCTCCTGAGAGAAGAAGACTATTCTTCTCACAGCCTTAATGTTTTGCTGGCCTGTTCAGATGGCTGTTGCTATCAGTTCCCACTCCAGCCCTTGGCACAGAGGGAGATGTCTAGATTTCTGTGTTCATTGTTTCAAGGGCTGGGTAGCAAGGATGGACTGCTCCCCAGCTGGCATCTAAGGGGTCTGCTTCCCCCTTCCCCTGGGGCGTGAACTGCCTCTTGCTAGAAGAGAGAAGCTGTGATGATCCCTGCGGGGGAAAATAAAGTGCCAGGATGCCAGTCTGTGGAGATGATGGAACAGTTCAGCCACTTCCACGAGTGGGAGGCTAATGATAGAGTTGGGCATTACTCGCCTTCCAAAACTGGGGGCATTGGGCCGAGAAATGTGATGGGCAATTCCAATAGAAGAGAATCAGTCATCAATAGACACCCAGATACCACATTTACACACCATTCAAAAGAGACAATAAAAAACCTAGGAAGGAAATAAAAAGACCAGAACACACCCCTCCAGCAGCCAACACCCAGATAAGCAGGGATCAGCACCAGACAAGCAATCGAGCAGAAAACAATACACTAATCAAGGAGCTACCAAGGAGAAAACCACACCCCACCCACACTGGCAGGGCAAGCTGCTGTAGATAAACAGGGAGCAAACCCCACCCTCCCTCGCCCTGATGCTGTTCCCTAGTTGGGTAATGAATCACCTGCAAGCCAACCCCCAAGCTGAGACAACATCAACGACTCCATGATGGAGAAATTCTCCAACAACTTCTCAAGGCCAGGACTTCTCTCCCACTGCCCCTCCTACCTCTTGGCTTCCCATCCGTAAATAAGCGCCAGAAGCCCGTATTCCACCCGGGAGAATTTTATCCAACTGTTCTTTTCCTTTGGAAGAAATACAGAATCCAACTGGCTTTCATCAAATGGAATTAGAACTGGTAGAAAGGGAATGCAGAAAAACTCCTCTGCCTGGCACATCTCCCATCACCAAGGCAGTCTGGAAGGAGGGCTATTCCCCATAACACTAGCCAGCTCAAAAGCTTTTCAAACAATGGAAGAGAACATCAACACCCTTTTCTGGTAAGTACCAAACATGTTTTTCTTCTGTTACATCAGCTCTCAGCAAAATAGGATTTTTGATGAAAAGCAATAAAAGAATTTGCGTATTAACATATCAGCTAAGAATCACTCACTGCCAAGTAGGCACAGCCAGGAAATGAATTCGAAAGGTTGGCTTATCTTCCAAACTGGATTGAAAAGAAAAACAGCTGGTAGGGGCTTAAGGCTCCTTGAACCTTTCTGAGCAGGCAAACTCAGGTTTGGTTTGGCCTCGCAACTGAAGTGCCCTTGCACGCTCCTTTGCACAACCAGAAACTGAGTCGGCAACATTCTTGGGAAATCAGGAAAGGGAAAAGAAAGGGGCCCCCTTTGTGGAGATCCTGGTTGATTTCGTAAGCAGACATTCCACATTCAACCAAACTGAGAATGGACGTGCCACTTGAGCAGAACTCTGCAGATTCCAGATAATGCAGAAATAGAATTCTGGAGCTTTGCTGCCAGCATCTTCAGGGAGGGACCAGGAGGACCATGGGGCATTAGAAGGCTTCTCCGCCAGCTGCTTCTGCCTGTTGTTCAGGACATGGCATGGCAAAATTGAGGCTTTGCTGGCCTTTTCTGCCTAGCTGTCTCCCCCAGTAGCCTTCTTTGATGCCCTGCAGTCAGCAATCTTGGGGAAGACCAGAGACTGCAGGTAAGAAGTTGTCTCTGCCTGTGCAGTCCACTGTGGGCCATGTGTGATCATGAGCCATTCCTGCTGTACAGCAGTGTGTTTTTGGAGCAGGGATTCAGTGGAGCCTTGACTTGGCAGGCTGATCAACTTCTGTCTGTGGAATGGGGGAGGCTTTGCTTAGTCTGGAAATGCCTGGGACCAGCCCAGTGTTTGCACTTCCAGTGGGTTGGGAGATGTCAAGGACCTTAGCTGCTGGAGCAGCACAGCCAGGGAGAGTAGGAATGGATGGCCTTCCCCAGGCCAAGTGGCCTGCATTCATTCTGTCTTTTTGACATTAATGGCTTTATTAGCTTTTCCAGAGTAATCCATTAAGACAGAAACAAACAGGAAGAGGGCCAAGAAAATCACGGTCCTCAAGGTCTCTGTCCCTGGCATTGAGACAAAGAAGACTTGTGTTCTTAGGGGTGGAGGGAGGGAAGGAAGGAAGGAAGGAAGGAAGGAAGGAAGGAAGGAAGGAAGGAAGGAAGGAAGGAAGGAA